TGCTGTCAAACAGACAATAAGTTTTCCCAAAATGTAAATTACAGCTTTATCTAGTCAGTGTTAATGCTAATAATCCAATTAAATGCAAGGCAAGACTAATTTAGGTACATGAAGGACTTCACTCGCATGAGTAAGAACATTTAAAATTAGCAAGAAGGAAAAGACTTTGAAACATCTGGGGACTAAGTATACCCAAGCGGCAGGTGGTTTTTCTGCCTTAATACCTAGAAAAGAAATACCCGTTTTTAAGATGCACAGTGCAGTAGAAAATATTAAATCAGGGGCTGGGTAATAAGTATTGGTCTTGGGTCTATTTCTTGTCTTCAGTCTTACCTCACCACCACCCGACTGATGATGGACAGTTCAGGGCTATGCATATTTAGGAGTAAAGACTGAAGGTCTGGTGCTAAACTGATCTGGGTAAAACGGTTCCTCGGTCTCTCCTGCTAACCTTCAGCATGTTCTGCAAGTTGCATTCCTGTCACTCAGTTCCCCCACCTCCACACAGAGCATTAAAAACATCCAAAGGCTTATTTTAAAATTAGTCACTAAAATCACCTACATTGCTTTGCCAGGCAGAGATTTAAACCATTTACATGAATTTACCAATCCAAATGGTATCCTGAAGCATTTTGTAAAGCCTTGTAAACATCAAATTAACTTGTATCACCTCATTTCCCTCTGCTTTGCAGATCTGTATTTAATTGTGGGATTTGACTGTTACTGCACAGCTGTAAGTTATTAAAGCACAGATTCCAATCTTGGTTATAAACACAAGGCAAGTTTTGCACCTGGAATCTATTCTCCCACCTCACTTGAGTTTGTCTGCACTCAAAAAAAACCCCACTTTAACTCACTACTGAAGGTATGATTAAAAAGAATTGGATAAAAGAGCAGATAGACTGCAGATTCTTCACTCATGGATATCAGAAAAAAATTCTCTTCACCTGGTACCATTCAACACCCACAAAGGTCAGACTCAATTCCTTACAACAGGCCAGAAGAAAGGTCTAGTTGCTTCTCAGAAAGCTTTTTAAGACAGCCTGGAGCCACCTGTAGACAGAGGGGTAGACAGCTTTCCAGGAGGAACAAAACACTGAAAAGGTATTTGGTTTCAATATATATATATATAAAAAAATCTAATTTAAAAGAAAAAGTCAGAGTAACAAAACCTACAGAAAATACTAAGATTTAATACAGCTTCATTAGTATTGTTACCTTTGGGTGGCTGGTTTTTGGTTTTTTAAGACACTGAGCAGTGCTGCACCCAGCAGTCCCTCCGAAACCAGTAAGGTCACCTAGTTTCTATTCTGTAAAAGAAGGAGAAGTGGAATAACACTCACTTTAAGATAAGCTCCACTAAGGAGTCTTTAATGGATTTCACATTTCAAAGCGTGAAGCTCTGCTTTGAGTTTAAGTAACCAATAAGCTAGCTAGTCATTTACTTTAAAAAGGCAAGGTATTTATTTTTGTAGGGAATAAAAATAAACTGTAATACAAATGAAACTTCATGGAACAAATACATTTAGAGAAAAAAAGACACAGTGCTCCTCTAAACATGGTACAATTATGTTTTTTTTAAGCAGTCCATTAACTAAAATGACTTACATGAATACAGCCATCGCATTCAAGAATATGGGATTTCATCATCCACAATTTTATACAACTGTCCAACAGTTACAATGACAAAAATAACGACTGACTTACAGAAACAGCAAAAACATTTACAATTTTCAGCTGAATACTACAGATAATTTTACGTACGTTCCTACAAAGAGCAGTTTGTGGGTGATAGGAAAAGTACATGTGTGCTCAGTTACATATGACTAGGTCCAGTGCTACAAGTTATTCCAGTAGTATGCTGCTACATTAAATACAGACACACGTACATAGATAAATGGTATGAGAAGAGATATAGGTCAACCATTTCAACCTAACCTCTCTTTCTGCATTGCTTTTGTAGTTCAGATGCCAAAAGGACACAGCACTGTACATTAAAATACTTGACCTAACAAATTGCACTGATTGCAATTGGCACCAACCTGGCTGCTCTTGGTGCTAAAGATGCTTATGAAAACATGGACTTTAACATCACCTGGCTTGAGACATTCCTCATCTAATTAATCAAGTGCTGTGTATTAATTAAAACAAAACTACTACATTCAGAACAGACTCTGCCCCCACTCTGCCCCAAGGCACAGAAGTACCTATAGGTGCAAGAGGGACAGTATGTAAACAAGGAATAACTGCGCTAGGTCCGTACAAAAAACGACCCCAGCACTCAACGCAGAGTGGTGGGGAAGGGGAAAGAGCAAAACAGCAGACACATTTTTCAGTTCACCTGCTCATCCGCAAATATTCATTACTAAATAGTGCCAAGAAATGATCCCTTTGGGGGAGCAGTCGTCAGGCCCTGAAGCTACCCAAAGACATGAACTGAAGCAGCATCTGGCACAAGAGCTCTTCTAAATGCTTTACCTGCAGGTGCTACAGCTCTGTTCGATGCAAGGCTGCATGCCTCCTGGGGCTCACCCTCTCCAAATGCGATGGGAACAGACACAGGGCACTTCACCCACATGGAGATTCCCACTTGTAACCCAGCAAGGTGCAACTCAAGGCAGAGATGCCATGAAGCTCCCAGCAGATCTCTCTCAACAGGACTAGAGAATCTTACTGGAGCAAACTGAAGCCTCCATCCTAGTCAGAGTAGTTTTAGGTACCAGTGAGCACCACCTAGCAGGTTTATTTTTCTCCTAAGCACTTAATAGAAGGTAGGAACAAAGTATGCAGCTAGAAGTATGTCATGCCTATAGGCTTTAACAAACTGCTTTTTCTCTCCCAGAGAAGGCAGCCAACTGAGAACCACAACATCTATGAGCAAACCAATCATTTCCCTTTTTTTTTTCCCTGTAAAGCAAGCAGCACTGATTGGATTTTCTCTACCACAGGCAACAACTGTAAAACAAAATACAATTTAAGAATCCAGCATTGTGAAGTTCACATTAAGACATTTCAACCAAGAAACAAAGCCACACGAGCCCCTCTTCTACTTCAAAGTAGTAGTTTTAATGCAGAACATTACAGGCACTTGCCCGCTGCAATGCTATGCCTATTCATAGCCAGAGAAACACTGTACAGGCATGAAACCACAATACCATGGACTATCTTGGTAACGCAAGGGGTGCTCCAGAAAAGGAAGAGTTTTACACAAACAAAGCCCATCTGCAGCAAACAGGATCCCTCCTCCCTCCCAGTTCTCCTAGTCAGAAGAATCCAAATGGAAAGCAGCAAGTTGCATTGTTCACTTAACAGCTCCAAACAGAACAGTATTTGTGACTTCACAACGCATGGATGCTCCACTAGGAATAAATAAGTTACAGTATGTTTTCACCTACATAGTGCTTACTAAGAAGATTCCTACGTAACAGCTTTTAGATTTCCTTTAACACTTTTAGGGAACATATAGTCAAGTCACACACCACTGTCAGCAGGGCACTCCGTAAGGAGGGAACACGAGCTTTCTGCAAGGCTCTGGGAAGCCAATCCTAGCTGATCAGAGACCTGAGGACATGCTGCAGTGCTTCAAACAGCTTTTCATTTTTGGTCTTGAAACACACAAGAGTTACCATCAAAACTACAAAGCTTCTAGCTAATCGGTTTTCAAACAAATAATGTCACGGAATGCCAGGAAATGCTGGAATCTCTTCCAGCTCTGTAAATTTACAGCACCAGCATGAATAAGTTTTAGTATGTTGTAGATTTTGACGAGGTTTGATTATATTAAATTCAAGAGGTTTAAAAAGACAGATCATTACTCTATTTTTTTGGCTAGGTTTTTGCATTTCAAAGTATAAAGTCATCCATTGTTTTGCTACCGTAGTCAGAAGCAGCAAGATCACTAAGAGCTTACTTTCAATGTGTGCAGTAATCTTTTCATGGTTATATGCATCTGTAGTAATATTGTAGTCAAGAAGAGTTTGTGGATATGTCGGCATCATGTTTCAGGAATAAGCAAAGATTATTATACTTTTTTCAAGGTAATCTATGGTAATTCAAAAGACAAGGCAATGTGTAAATATTTATAGAAGCCTTCTGCAAAATGTTTTTATATAATGATTAATCAATAGCATGTTGAAATCCTTCAGTAGTCAAAATTCTCTACAATTCCATATTTCAAATTTTCATTAGAGAACACATTAAAAGAACTGATGACATTTAGCATAACTGGTCCTAAAAAGTGCCTGTCCTGGTCTCATTTACCATTTTAGAGTTCTCTATTTAAGAAGCAGTGCATACTATCCACTACGCTCTTCTACACCCTAGAAAGAAAAGACAGGGTTGATCTATCAGTCCGTATGAAACAGGCTCCAAACTGCAAAGTGCATTGTGAAACTGAGCTTCTACACTATAAAGAAGCAAAGAGAAATAACCTCCCCAGCATTCTCCAGTGAAAATCTACAGCAGATTCTGAACCCTGGGTATCTAGAGCAGCTGGATTAAGATACAGGGTGCAATCTCTTCACTTTAGGAGTATGAGGATATGGCAAACTTAAAAGGCTGGTAGACTAACTTTATGTTAGGAGTCTAGCAGATCTCTTGTTAGGAGCAAGAGAGACTCAACAGAAGATACTCATCTTGCAATTAAGAAAAGATGCATTCAGAAATGTGTATCCTTAAAAATATAGCTGTTGTATGATGCAGTATTTCTGATACATACCCACACAACAAATTCTGAACATCTTCAACTTAAGTATATCTGGTTCTGTATTTTATGTGCTTCGTTTCTGAATCAGTCACACATTGTAGTTCTCTCACTCCTACCTTGGAAACAACTATATTACTTGCTTTAAGATTGAAAAATCTGCAACATTAAAAAAAAAAGCTTTTCTTTGTCATTCTAGTCATTGAAGAAACTGTTCTCAGATATTGCCTTTTTTCCTTGGGTCTTTTGATATGCTTAATAAAATATGTATTTTCTTACCCGAAGTGAGACACTCTGAGTTTTTATTGGTTGTAGGGGTTTTTTTCTTTTCTATCTTCAACACTGAAACTAACGTAGTCATTTCACCATAAGCATATGAACAACAGCTATTGCATTTTATGACTCTATAATGGAATGTTTCTACTTTTTATTGTAGATTGGGATGGCTAACTTGGAAAATATTTTCAATTTTTTTCAAGATTTTATAAAAAAGGGAAACTGATTTTAAGACCTAATGGCAGCATCTAATTTGAACAACAGGATCCAAAAGCAAGCAGAAAAGCATCTTGAATGAAACCGCATAACGGGACCCTGTGCAATTAAGCACATCTATAGAAGTACTGTGGAACAGCTTTCCTGGGCCATCCACTTCCCTGGGGAGACAACCCCTTGTTTCTTCTGTATAAATAGAGTATACATCTCTGTTTTAAACCTGCAACTTTGAACTAGTATCTGCAGCTGAGCTTACTGCAGCTTAAAGAAACCAAGTAGTGTTAACAAGCACTAGAGTGAGTCCAAGCTACAGCCGCAGCCCTGAGCCCAGATGTCTACTCCTTGTTCCATTAAGGTGTCACATCCCAATTTACGTTTTGTCATCAGCTTCAAAAAATTAAAAAGTTCACTGCCATGAGAGATATTGTTCATCTCACCATGTCTTGACAGTACAAACAAAGCATCTTTAAAGTTCATGTAATTTTAACATCCAAGATAACATTCACTAGAATCACTCAGCATGTGATGTGAAGTAATCATTTTAGGCCCCATTTCCATAATAGAACACACCTCATCTGTAATTACTGCCTCACTGATGGATGCAAGGAAAGCACACTGATTCCAGCTTAGAACAAAGAGTTGCTCTCTTGCTTCAATTTAACCAAGATCATAAAACAAGACAGAAAATTTCCATATAAATTTTCTCCTATCTTTTCTCATTTCTAGTCCTCCCTCTGCCAAAAAATCACGTGTCACAGCCTGTCTCTGTGGCTTGCTGTACTCTCACAATCAGTAAATAAGGTCCATAAAAGCTTATCCTTTGAAAGGTCGTCTTAGAAAGAAGCTACTAAACTCAGGGGATTGGCAGAGATCCCAAAGAAGCTGGCGTAAGATAAAAAAACTTGTTTAAAAATACTGACTAAAGGTGACCAAATACAACACTACACTACAATAATAAAAGTAGTACATTGCATGGCTAAACATTAAAATGGTCTCCATAAAAAGGCACAGGGGGGTTTTTGTTTAACAAATATGCATAGGAAACAAAAACTGAATCAGTTCTGCCACAAGGTGAGGGTCCATGCAGAGATTCATTCACAGCTAAGAAAAGGGGTTTGGTTTTTTTATCATTTTAAGATGACCTTGCACCACCACTGAGAATAAATGGATTGCATACTCCAGTTATAAACACTGCATAACTCCTAAGCCCCAGTTAATTGGCCAAGATTTCTTTCAGCCTGAAATACCAGTCCTGGCAGGCAGTCATAAACCTTAAACACACATCGTGTTTCCACTGAAAAATAAGGTTTACACTAACTCAGGGTAGCTTTCTGGGCAGCTCGTACGCATCTTCATTTTAGCTACAAAACAATGCGACCAAGCCAAATGCAGACTGTCTTCTCTACAGCGAGCACAGCTCCCTGCAAACATAGGTACTCACAAGTAGCTGTAAATAGTTAGGGGGTCTACACCCTCGCAGGGGCACAGCTCCCTCATGCCTCACCACCACAAGTGCCCGGTTATTGAACACAGTCCTCAGGTGATCAATGGTGCTGCAGCTTTCCATCCTTAGCTTGGGAGTTCAACACGTCAGTGGTGGCATTAAGGTCATGGAGGTCCTGGTGATGAGACAGGTTCTCTTTGTGCTTTTGGTCCACATCTGACATAACATCTATATCCCCTGCTGAGGCACCATTGCTCAACACAGGAGGTGGTTCCCCTTCATAATCCTGAGGAGTGTTGAGCATCGGTGTTTTTGAAGCAGCACATCCTATTTTAGGTAAGGAGCAAGCTTCACTGGGCAAAGGACCATCAAGGAATGGAAATTTCTACAAAAATAAAAAGACATGAAAAAAATTAACGAAAGCTGCTATTCCCAAATGTCAGGGATATACAAAAACAATTGTCAACATAATAGTCCTGTGCCAGTGACTCTTTTTTAGCTCTATAATCCAGCATTAAAGTACAGGGGCATAGACCTTTCCATGTTTGATACAAACATCATTATTTGTTTAATAAAAATAAAGTTTTCAGCATTCACATTAACCTAGCAAAAGACACATAGGTCTTCTCACTGATACATTTTTTAGATGACTCTCCAACTGCTGTATTTCTAGGGGTTTGTTTTGTTGGGGTTTTTCTCTGGTTTGTTTATTTTTAATATGCATAGAAAGAATACTGCAAGTAGAGCCTCAAGCATAAAGAAAAGCCACGCCTCTTTCGGGCAGCTGTAGAGGACTGTGGTGGGTTAACCTTGACCGGATGCCAGGTGCCCACCAAGCTGCTCTATCACTCACCTTCTCAGTAAGATGAAGGGGGGGATAAGATGAGAAAAAACCCTTCGTGGGTCAAGATAAAGGCAGTTTCATAAAGCACAAGCAAAGGCTGTGCGCAGAAGCAAAGAAAAACAAAAAAATTGTTCTCCACTTCCCATCAGCAGGTGATGTTCAGCCACTTCTCAGAATGTAGGGCTTCAGTACGTGTACCATTTGCTCCAGAAGACAAATACTATAATGAGGAATGCGCCCCCCTGCCCCTCCTCCTTTCTCTAAGATTTTATTGCTGTGCAGACGACATATGATATGGAATCTCCCTTTGGTCAGTTTGGGTCGGTTGTCCCAGCTGTGTCCCCTCCCAAGATCTTGCCCACCCCCAGCCTGCTGTCTTTGGGGACGAGGAGGGGAATGCTTAAGAGACAACCCTGATGCTGTGGAGCACTGCTCAGCAGCAGCCAGAACACTGGTGTGTTATCAGCACCTTTCTAGCTACTGACACACAGCATAGCCCTAGGAGGGCTGCTGTGGGGAACATTAACCCCATTCCACCCAGAACCAATACATATGAAAACAGAGTACTGCAGCACTCCAAAAGCTAACAAGACTACCTGTCTTTTTTTTTTTTTTCCTATCTTGCACTGCTGAGATCTTCATATAGAAACTACATCTTCATATAGATAAATATAGCTCTCTGGGGAATCTGAGCAGAACTGACCGCGTTGCTGTTTACTTTATTATTTTGGGTTGAAGTAGAGAAATTGGTTATTCTGGACACAAGATCTCTGCTCTCTAGTACACAGAGCACAAGTAGTAAATGCACAAGATTCCCTATCTTGTTTTAGCAATGCACTTTAAATGGAGGTAGCCACTTTTAGAAAGTAATTCAGCCTACACAATCCACTTACAATTTGGTCATTACAGGAAAGCCAACTTAAGTAACTCAATTGTTTTAATACCTGGTTGATCATAATTTTATTCCAATGTGGCTTGTGAACGAAAAAGCAGGAAAGAAAAATGTGGGGTTGAGCTAAAACCAAGAATATTTTTGTATATCTGTGTTACAGGTCGGGGGGGGAGTGGGGTGGAAGCAAGCCTACTATTTTCTTCTCTCCCTCTCCAACTTTTCTTCAAGTGGAGTTGAAACCTACATGTTCTTTTAACACCTGCTTTGTTTAGAGAATTAGATCATAAGCCTGCAACAGAACTTGATCAAAGACAGCTTTTGGCTAGCAGGTAAGAATTTTGGGTAAACCAAACCTATGTATCACAGCAACATCATTTAACCCCTCATGTTGCCCAGCTCTCCCCAAGCATGTTGAAACAATTGTTCAATGCCAATGTTCAAACCCAGTTATATTTGCCAAAACCATCATGTGATTTTAAATATTATTAAGATTCAGGACTCACATTTTCCAGTTCAGATGCACTGTCCTCCAGTTTCATCTTTTGGCTCATGCATCTTAGCAGATGATCTAGTACACACTGTTTTGGATGCATTCCTTTGTCAAAGCGATTATACATCCCACACCAAAACCTCAAGAACAGGGCAAGAAAAGAGAATTAGGCAGCCAATTGTACACTACTGGCCAACAAACTAGATGCTGTTTAAGAAAAAACCTTTCAACAAATTGCCATTAGTAACTGATTTTTAAAAACTGTTAGAGACTTAAATTATAAAATCCAGTATAAATGGGCAAATTTTCATGAAGTTCCAAAAGCTTCCAAGGATTTAAGCACTCCTGCTTTACAATCTACGTGGACTGGGCAGTAGGTATTAGCATAAGACAAAAATATACTTTTTTCTATAGCAGACTCAGTGGAGACTTGGTGAATTCACCTTCAAATCCTCAGCTTGCCCTACCTCCCTACTTTTTTTTCAAATCCTCTGCCTACCAGTAACCACACACAGCACTTAAAACACATTTGCAACCCCCATCTCAGCAGGGAACAGGAGTGAGCCAGAAACAAAACAAAACTAACCACTTCAGCTGTAACACTCCAGGCAAGCAAATAGACATGGCAACAAGAAATCCCTCATGAAAACCATCCTGATTGCATAAGTCTGGGTGTGACCGGGCACTGAAATTTCTGTTTGAAAGACTTCCTTAATATATATTAAAAAGAAAAAAAGGAGGAACTTTCTTTAACAATTGCCTACCCTCTCAAGAAAATTTGACAGAGCAGTCAGGGGGGTTGTGTGGGTCTATCTGCACATCTGAAGTTCTTTTCCTTGACTTTCCCCTGCCTCTCTCTCAACACCAAAGAAAAATTATTTTAAATTACAGTACCTGCATTTATTTAGCACTTGCCTATGCACTACTACTCTCAGTTTATGGATGAGGAATGGAGGGGAAAGATAAACCATGCTAATACGTGAAAATTTATTTTATAAAACCTGAAATACCAATCTACATTACAATGAAAGAAATGTCCCCCTTCTTAAAAAAGCAACTTACTGGAAACTGAAAGGTAGTGTGTTTGGTTGAAGCTCTTTGTAAGCTGTAAATCCTCTGTACAAAGGATTTCTTAATTCCTGCTTCTTCTGCAAGAGGAAAGGCCACAGAGAATGGGTCTTCTCAAAGATTCTGTCAATTACAAATAACATCTAATCACAAAAAAAGAACCACATTAAATGGGTTAATAACATTAGCCATTCTTAGTAGAATTAGATTAAGGGAGCTAAGAACTATTTTCGCACAGTATCTGATTAATTTCATAAACACAAGATACATCACTGAAGAACATATAATCAATTTAAAGTGAATACCATCCAGTCCAAAAGGCTTTTCTGAAAGTTATTACTTTCTGGTCCAAATTAAAATATCTGACTTCAGGGATATAATTAATCTATAGGGGTCTTTTTCCACACGGTAAAACATAAGCATCTACCAAGACAATGTTACCCATAATCAATCTACAGTTACATTAAAAACACACAAACAAACACAACCTGCTTTTTTTGGTGACATTTAAAGTGACTCCTAGACTGTTGGGTCTATAAACTGTCAACTCACTTCAGATCCTCACGCTCCTTATGACAGGTCCCAAGGAAATTGCCAAACTGGCAGGAGTAGACATGGTCATGGATTTCAAGAAGAAAACGCTCATTAAACTCAAATGTGCAGGGGAACTGCTGCATGAGCTGCCAGACACATTCAATGAACTGAGTGAAGACAGGGGACACTTCTTTGGGGTCACCATCCAAATGGCCACACCTAGAGAGATGCAAACAAAACAGGGTTAAATCCCCTGTCACCCAACAAAGAAAGAATCCCCTTCCTATGAAGCAGCTGGGAAGTTTTCTTCACTACTACAATAAGAAGTTATTCCGCATAGAAAAAGCCTCATGTGATTTATTTTACAGCAACTGTACATTAAGGCATGCCACCCTCAGCATTACTTGTTCTTCATGGGTACCTGGTGCAGTGTCCCCTTCTCTAAAGTAAAAGTAGCCGTGGAAGACCCCACATAACAGACTTACAAGCATCACAAGAAATACTTGTGAAATAGGAATCCTTAAGCCTATGCTATGATGTTAGCAAAAAGTAAAAAAAGACACTGTTCTCCAAATAACCATCTATTGCTTGAATATAAGAAAATAATGCTAGCCCTTAATTGGGGAAAAAAGGCTGGCATCGGTGGGATTTCTGTCTGTCTGCCAGCCAGGAACAATAAGAACCAGTGGGGAGGGGGAGTTTCCTCTGCGATCTTCTATGGATGTGAGAGTATTTTATGCAGGCACAGCCACAACAGGCAGCAAGTCAGAACAACCTGATTTTGCTCCATGTGGACTGCAAGAGTGAAATCCTGGTACGCAATTATTCAGAAAAGAAAAAAAGAAAAACTCAAATAAAACCCCAAAGCAACAATCAAAAAATATTTTTACAGCTTTAGATGAAGTTCAGAAAAAACCTACTAGCTCTGCAAAAATCTAGCCAGGGATCTATCAGTGTTCAATAAAATCCATCATAAAACAAAAAATAACCAGAAAAGAAATACAGCACTTCTGGAAAGCAGCCAACACACTACTGTGTTGTAATAACTGTTCTTAAAAAGTAAAAACTTGGGGCAGAATCCCCCTTTTTAGGAAGGGATAATACCTGGAAATCCACAGAGAGAAACAAGGCATCCCCAAATTTAGTTGGAAAAATGAAGGAAGATTGCTTGCGACAGAGATCCAGCTGATGAAATCCCAGTTCCTGGTTCTGGGATTCTGACCACAATAACCTAAGTGACAGCATAGAGGAGGACTGGTCTCCCTCAGAACTGTAAGGCACTAGCCACCACTATGAGAAGAATGATTTTGTCTACTGGAATAAAAGTTCATATACCCAGTCAATGCTGAAATTCATGTCTCAAGTACTTTTTGTATCCATTGCCAAGTTCTTATACTTGGAACAATCCTTTATAATAGAAGATATAACAGAATAGGAGTTGAGGTTTTGGAGTTGGGTGGGTTTTTTTTGTCTTAAAGCAAGGAAGGTGAAAAGAATCCCTGAGGAAGCAGAAACAATGACCACAGAACATTTATTTGGCCAATAATGACCAAACAGCAGTCTATCTTTGATTGCTTCTTCTTATATACCAGTATAAAGGTGTGCATATTGCTTATTTTCCACAGATAAGCTTTAAGGAAACAGATTTGGTTTATTATTAAAAACAGGAACCCGTTTAACATTGAGAACAAAGACTGAATTTTTTAACAAGCTAGTATCACTGAAGAGACCGGTTCTTCCCCTCCTCATATTCTTTTGTACCATCTCAGTTTCTAATTTCTATATGGTAAATATAACAAGTGGTAATTCAAGGTAATATCCCTACTAGATGTGGGCTATCAATTACAGGAATGACAGCAATTTTAATGTGCCTAGAGAAATCAGGTCAAATTGGGTTTTAGCACTGTAACAGACTCAACTTTATACTTTGAACTTGGTAGAAGTCCTGAAAAACATTAGCTGAGATTTTCTTCCAGGAGATGACTGCAGAAGAATTAATACATCTTGCTGGAACACTAGTACTCCTCATATAATACGAACGTGACTTTACAGGTAGGAAAACACTCAGAATTCAAACAATTTGTGCAAGACTCTGTTTTTGTAAAGTAATAAAAAACACTGATAAAAACCCTAGCAGATACTGGCTTTATGTCACCAGCTCTGATATTTTCCAAATCTTCTCTCCTCTGTCTTGTATGTTTATTTACATTTCTCAGGAGAGTACTTAAACCTGAAAACACTGTATTAGTTTCACAGCCAAGCCTTCACCCAATCACTACACCCAAGATAAGATGGTCTTCTTACCTGTGTGAGAACTTGTGGCCCATTGCAATCCACTCCTTTTCTATTAGAACCTTAATTTTCAAAACAGAGATTTAAAAAAGAGCATTACTTTGTTTAGAAAGAGCAAAATGAAGCCTTTGATTGCTAAACTCTAAAAAGCAACCAATGCTACCTGCTGACCCTATTGTTATGAGTATATCCATAGAAGTCAAGGAAAATAGTAATAGTGATTTATGGATTAGTCATCCACAGCTACCAGTACAATGTCACTGTTGGAATAAGAAGTTACTTCAAGCAAGTCCAGTACTATTTGGAGGGAGTTTCTATGTTTTTAAAATCATGATATGTAAGTAATGAGTTAAAAGAATTAACAGCTTAATATTACACTATGTACTAAATTCAGAAAAGAGTATCATGAGACTCAGCAAAATAAATCAGCAACTGGAATTCAACAAATGTTTAACACAAATAGGAACAGAAGAACAACAGTGTACTGAGGGGCTCAGGATGAAATCAGAGAAACTATTAGTTTTAGTTTCTCTCTTAAATAGAATGACTGTGCTATATATAAGAAATTAAAAAGGAAGCAGTATTTTCCTTGAACACACATCTCATAAGGAACCAAATGACTAATGCTAAATCCATTATTACTCGCCTTGTTGCATTATATTTAAAGATCAATTCCTGATATCATCATTCAGAGACTTAAAAGAATGAAAGGAAAGCAGAAATTCACAGAGTACTCTGAACACTTAATTTGCATTCTTTTCAAATGTTTCCATTCTTTACACTTCTGTTGCATTCATTTAGGAATAACCACTGTCAAAGGATTTGTGGATATTTGCTCAGAGGACAGATGAGCATTCGCCTGTTTTAGTTACTGTCCCTGTTCCTAATCAAAATCATGTCTCTTAGTTCATACATAATTATCCAGAGCCAAAGGCCAGGCAGATGTTTCACATGTAATTTTAACTGTTAAAAGATTTCAGTATAATCCAGAAGCAAAAATAATAATAAAAATAGCATGGAATACAAGGAAACATTCCTAGCAGTGCAACACACTGCAAGAGGCGAATTTGCATCGTTCTGATTTCAGGGTTTCTTTTAAGAAACTCTTCCAAGAAAGAGCAGCAGTCTGTCTTTCGGGTATTTAACAAAAAGAGATGAATGCAAAGATAGCATCACAGATTACACTGTATTTATGCAGTAATGGCTTCAAACAAGAAAAAGCCTGCAGTAGAAGCAGACAGCCAAATGTAATGGATTTAAAAAGGTCTTAAGCGATGCACAGATTTTACATGATATACAGGTTAAATGCTGCCCTGTGCACAAAGATGAGTTCGCCCAATTTTAAATCCTAGCAGATAACAGACCATTCACTATAAGGCTTAAATAACAAGCTGCTTCACTGCTTTTTTGTGGATTGATGCCAGAGTTGCATCCTTTGCTCTCCCATCTCTTGCTGAAATGTCTCATTAGAGGCTCTCATATGGACATTCAAGGAAACAAAGATTTGGGAATTGTAAATCAACTGCTGCTGTTTTGTGCCCAAGCAGTTCAGAGCAATTAAAGCTTGTTCAGAGAATCAAAGCTGGTTTTATATAGGTCACCTACTGTTTGTTCCAAGGAATGACCTAAAACACTTAATTAGGGCCTGTTCACATTTCAAATGCAGGAAGTACTTATTCTTGAAATTCCAACACTCATGTTCTTACCATGAAGCCTTTACAAGTCCTATAAAATGGATCCAAGAGGAGGCTAGCCAGTGAGCAGACCTGGGCTGTGCGATCCCACCCATCAGAGCAGTGGACTAACACGCTAGCTTTTTCATCTTTCACAGCCTGTGAAGGAGAGACCAGATAGAACAGTTCAGCAGCTTTCTAGGTTGGTTACTGTAATTAAATGCTACCCTTTCATCTGCTTTTTACCTGACTGGCCTAAAATCCAAGGAGAAAATATGTCATTTCTCACCTGAACCATGGAAATGCACCATTTCTAGGAAACCGCAACTAGGATAAAATGCCATAGCATGCCTTGTCAGCCACAGAGACTGTCAAGAAACAAAGACCCTCTGATCTCAAAATGCTCAGCGTTCTGAAAGGCCAGGAATTCTCAGTCCCCTCCTCTGAGGAAGAATATGTTGGATGAATAAAGAATAGTAATCGGACACACAGGGACTAAGAACTTCTCAGAGAAGAAGAGCTCATCCCAACATCCTCCCTTATGGATCACCTTCTTCCCCTAGTACGCACAGCAGAAGAGAAACAGAGTAGCTTCCTGCTTGCTACATGGGAAAATTTGAAGAGAGACTAGACAACACCTACAGGTCACCACTTTTGCCACATGTTACCTGCATGCCCTTTACTATTACTGAAGAGCCATGTGCCTTAATAACTTTTCTCCTTCTGTCTGACTTGCAAAGCCACAAGCTCTAAAGAAATGAGGACTGCGTTGAATAAACAAAATTAGCAGTCCCTGCATCACACAGAATCAGGAGAAAATAAACTGGACTAAACAATCCCTCATTTAAAGCAGAGCAGTCCAATAACTAAGGAGCACAAGGTTACATGTTGTTTGCACTAGTCAATATGTGTTATATAGAGTCATTTATAAAGGTCATTTATTCACATTCTGTGATTTTATTTGTTTCAAATGAGTTCTAATAAAGCCTAGATAACTGCTTGTTACAGTACAGTAAACTGGACAACGTCCCAATCCCTACAGCATTTCCTTCAGTCACAGGAAGTGTCTAGAACACCAGCTGGGTAACCCACTCCATGTTCTCCAACTGCAGGCTTGTTTTTGAGAGCTGAGGACAGCCTGAACAGCAAAGTTTCCCAACCTTCAGTCCAGAAACAACTTCACAGCCTTGGAGCAGTCCCTAACAGACAAGTACATATTTTTTAATTCACCTGCAATTTGGGAGTACAGTTTTTACCTTCGCAAGAAAGACACCTGCATCCATCACCGCCTTAATGTGCCGTAACCAACCTGAATTCTCCAGCCCAGTGAGGAAATCGCTCATTGAGGGGGACTTCATTTCACACACTAAGAACACAAACAAAGGAATTAACTGATACTCCATTAACAACATCTCTTTCTTTTTCCCACCTCCTCATTATCCTTTCACAGCAACAGAACTTGGTAGAGCCTAAAAGCTAACATTGCCTCATTTTTTAACAGTCAACAGCAATATCCTGTCTAAAGGACACAGGATCTACGCAAAATACTTAAAATACACAAACCAGCAATTTTTAGCTATAAGAGAACCCGAGGATCTGAAAATATCCTCCTCCTTTTTTTTAAATGGTAACTCATTCTTTTTTCAGCTTTTTTCAAAGAAGGAAGTGTTTAGTGATCTGTTACTTCACTATAAATCACCTTTGCACACACATCTAAGAACCACTAGCATGCAGTCACCATCACAAAGATCTGAAGAGCTACTTCAGAGAAAGAAGTAACATGTCTAACCTAGAATGCAACTCAGATGCTGTTAACCCAGCATAGAAAATACTTATAGTAATACAGTTCAATAGCATGTAAACATCAGTGAGAGATTTTATCACTGTCAAAGAAGAATATGGAAGTAAGCAAGTATTTATTCTGCCTCTTCTTCCACCACAAAATAAATCTGCCAGGAACAGGCAATTGAGGACTTAAACTTGTGATCATGCAAATCTCTTGGTCATGTGTATAGCCTCATTTTTCTCCAAGGTCATCACAGATCCTGCAGTGCTACCTGGCCAGGCAATTGGTAACATCAATTACTCAACTATTTTGAAGCAATATAACCCTTATGGTGGTTACTAAAATATTAAACTCATATTTTGAATGACCTGTATTACATTTTAGAAAACTAAGCACAGGGACCAAGCAGAATGATTTGCAGCATCTACTCTGCCCTGTTCTGCAGTCTTTGTCAGCACAAGGATGCTAACAGTGCTGGAAACCACCTAGCAGAGTATGATGGTTTGATCCAAGTTGCACCATGACCTTTAATGGAACTTCTAAAAATTACATAGTGAAAATACAGACCTGATTCACCTCTTGATCTCCACTGGCTCAGATAAGGATTTTTTCTGCTTTGCATTTTCCCCCTAAGATCACAATCTTGAAGTTGTTTAATTACCTAAGCTATTCTGCATTTTCATATATTTTAATGTATTAAAAGCAAGTTCAGTTAAAGATATCGGAAATAAATGAAAAATAAGAACTATGTATGCATGAGATTAAAGTCTTTTGAAGATCAGGCCAAAACTTTATTTAAAATCAGAAATACTGGTTAACACTGTAACTAAATGTAGCAAATCCCAGGAAAGTATTTCCTCAACAACCTACCTTAGTTTTCTTTCAACAGCTCACAAAGTAACCATGAGACTATCTTAATGGTAAAATGTAATATTCCTATAGCCTTTTTCTTTTAATTTAAGAAATTAATATTTTCTGTAACTAGCAAAATTAAGAAATGTTTTTAGTATTAGTTGCTATTTTTGAACCATTATAAAACTAAGCACAATAATAAAACGTCCAGCAGGAAAGCACGTTAACAAGATTAATACTTTCAGCCACTCCAACACAGCAAACCTAGATACTTGCTCATCTGGTTCCATCACAACACCCAAGTCCACATGCATTTGTGCATGTAGGAACTACATATTTAGCAAAAGGTTGTCCAAAAGTAGCCATGGGTAATGAAGACGGGCCACTTGTACAGACCGTACCTACCTTCCAGGAGTTTCTGCAAGCTGTTACGCATCACATGGATGTTTTCTATACCAATAAATTTAAAGCGAATATTATCATAATTATCTTCATTCTCATAACCCTTCCCAGCAGCTCGGTTTGCCATGGCATTTAACTGTCAAATTCAAGGGAAAAGGAATAGGAAAGAAAAGAGAGAAAATTACAACAAACAATATGCAGAAATAAATGAGACTGTTTTGCAAGTCCTTCTTCTTTTAAAGTCTCCCAGCAAATATACTGAACAAAGTTGTTACTCAGACATACTTCCCCACCTCCCAGACATTACTTCCAGCTGTTTCACTAAAATTATGCCAGTATCTCCAGTCCATTAGTCATATGCAGAGACTCATTAAGTCCCTGGACAGAATTTCTTAGGATAGACAGTATCAAAACCATGCCCAATTTCAGAATACTGCTGTCAATAAAACAGGTAGAGAGACACTGAGTCTGCCTTAACTGTGAAGCTATGTAAAAAGATTCAGACAGAAGCACATGAAAGTAAAACTAGGAAAGCCATTTTTACGAGTAACATACATACATGGTGGTATAGAAATAGTAAGAGAATTCCAAAGCTTTTCACAGACATACATGCACAGATGAAATAAAGCCACCTGAGGGAAACATAGAAATATTAAAGTTGAGCAGAAAGAATACAGCAACCAACTGGAACTGCAGAAAAGAAGTAGAAAAGCCACCAGCTGCTCTAACAATTACCCAAAATAGTTCAAGAGCTACCACAAAATCCTAAATGCTGACCAAAAAAAAGAGCACCTCAACCCCCCACATATTAATTTGGGAAAAGGAGTGATTTGCCTCCATAGAGAGGAGAGAAAGAAGAGTCAGATAAGGTATATACATCTTTAGAACAATTAAAAAACCCTCGTGCTTCAGTTCTACCATTCGGACGTTCTATTAGAAGGAAAAACACAACCAATTTTAAATTCTCCCTTTTTTTGCCAAATACTTTAGAACAAAATTGCCATCAACTGTAGGTTTCACTAGAACATCTACGATACTGAAAACTATCTGTACTAAAAGAACATGCAGTGATTGCTATAAACATACATATAATTACAGAATAGGTTCTCTCTCGGAAATGTCATATTGCAAAAAGCCAGAACACATCTTGGAACAACAGGTGAAACATTCCTTGTTTTCCCCAAAAGTTTTTCCCTTAATGCACTTGCCATAATTTAACTACAACTGTAGTTTCTATAAAATAATATCTGAACAGTGAAGCAAGTTCTCAGAAATCTCAATTTTAAAATAATCAAAGCACTTTAAAATCTTTGTATTGAAATAATTGTGTACTTTGAAAATCCTTCTGTTCTAATTTGGTTATACTCCCAATCAATATGCTTACAAAACAATCACTTGAATTGGTTTCTGAATTCAGTTCCTCAAGATGACAGTCATTAGAGATTTCATTTTGCAAATGTTTCTTCAATATCCTCTTAAACACCTCAGCAATAAAGTTCTAGCCCCAAATAGTGGCTATGGACCAGAGGAGCTGAATTGTATTAAACTCCAAGCTGCACATCATGAGAACATTAGTGTTATTTTTACAAAGACAAAAAAATGGAGGAATTGCTTTTCTCAATTGTTACTGACTTCATACAGCCTCACTTCTTCCCATGGTCTGCTGATAAAAGCACTTCAGCCTCGTGGAACTGAATCCTAAGGCTTCTCTTCAACGCAACATATTAAGGACACAGCTCTCTGCAGGAAAATGCTTCACTGTCTCAAGTCAGCTTCAAGACTGCCAATTGCTTTAGGTCATCTTTAACACAAACCTCAACGCAGAATACTCCAGGAGCGTGAGCATTCTTAACAGCACTTCACATTGCCATTTTATTATGCACAAGTATTCATCACACTAAGACACCAAACCAGGAGCCTGATACTGAATTCCTGATTCAGGACTGACACAATTTAACCTAATGCAGCATAAGAAAATATTAGCAAAGTTGTGAAGGAACAAACTGGAAATAGCATTACCAATTCAGACACAAGATTTAAAAGTAGCCACAAACCCCATGAAGATACCTTTGGCCTTGTGTCTACAACATACATGAAGGGGCTCCCAGGGTTGGCTTCTCTGATCGCCTGCAGCATTTGTTCATCCTCCAGACAGCGTGCACTGAACCCAGAGAGAGGTTGGCTACAACGACATATGGCAGCCTGCAACACACAACAGCTCACATTTTTCTGCTTTCAGATCGTCTCTACTGCACTACCCCAAAGAACGACAATTTGTTGGACAAGTGTCCTCCATTTCACTGAAGAACTGCTACTTAAATGGACACACAGGAATACTACCAAAATATTTCTCAAAGCTACAAGCTTGGCAATCGTAAGGAAGTAGTGAGGCTAAAGAGCCCTGCTACAAACTTCACTGCTATGTTCTCAAACCCACCATGCTCTGCCTGATGATCAGTATCCCAAATGTTCGCATTTCTCACGTTTTCTACTTGGGTTTCTATTATCCAAACCATTATCTTCCACAATTTTGCTTATCAGCTGTTACTGTTCCACACAGAACTGCACCGAGTGCGCTTTAGGGAAATTTCAGTAGCTGACAGCAGAACTCCATAGTTGCCCAGGTCAAGGCACGCTTCCTCAGGAAAACAATGTGACTGCATTTTCCTAACATCTGCATCTAAAACATTGCTGAGACAGCAAAGTTAAAAATTTACATTCTGGTCTTCAGTGGAAAAAAAAAACAAAAACAAACCCAACCAAACTGAAACCTCTTATTCTGAGCTAGTGGGGATTTACTGCAGGGTGGTTCCTCCTATTCAATATGAAGAAAAATCTAGCTGAATTAACAAGTACCTTGTTAAAACATTCAATATTGCTAAACAGTAATTTAAAAAAACCAAAAAAACCACGTAACAAGGTATTGCTGAAAGCTCATTAAAGAAAAAAATATCCAGACAGGAAGCTTGGTAAGTCTGTGCTTTTTGCACAGCTCTGGATGCATCCCAAGAGTTTGCCTTTAGCTTATTCTGTGACACAGACAAACCAATATTAATGCTGTTAAGACAATCACAGTTCTAAACACATAAATTAATTATTAGAACCTATTATCTCATTCTTTCCTTTCACTAAAAGGAAACAGGACAAGAAGGGGAACCCTTACTCCCCCAAAAGACAGCAGACAGTGAACAACTAACATTGTTTTCTTTATACAAGTAAGAAAGCACCGGAATCCGCCCTCTGCTTCTGAACCTTGAACTTCCAATCACCACTGCCTTATTAGCAGCTCTAGGCACCACTATTTCTGGAGGATATGTGTTGCAAACCTAAGTGAAAAGAGAGAAAAAAAAGAAATCACATATTAGTATTTAGCAGCTCAAAATTCATCCATAGCTTATGATCTAGCATTTATAAACAACAGGAATAGATTGTTTATCATACTGTATCTAATGTAGTTCACACCTAAAATTTTAAGCCATTAAGATGCATTTTGAAAAACAACACAGGAATAAATGCAAAATGAAACAATCGATCTTGCAACTGAACTTAAAAAAATGGACTGCACAGTACACAATGCATATTAAAAGGAAGTTATTTAAATCCATAAAATTTATGAAAGCTTCTGATTTGTCAGAAAAACAGAAATTAAGAACAACTATATTTAAAATGTTCCCTCTAAATCTTACTCAACTTGAAATGAGCTTCCAGCAATCAGGTACAGACCAGCTTTATCCTTTTTTCAGCACGTACTTCACTGATAAGCTATTCTCCAAGTATGGCTTTACTTTAGGCTTGACAATTTTAAAACATAAGGTGGAAACCCTGAGGAAATTACAAAGCACTGGCACTTGAGACTTACATATTAGCAAGTAAAACTTCAATGTGATTAATTATTTTAGATGCCCACATTCAGATGCCCTAATCAGCTAATGGAAAAAGCACCTCTCACCTCATATCTCAATTCAGGCATCCAAAAATAGTAATTTAAAATTACCAGTCACTTCTAACAGCATGGGATTATATTTCTTCAACCCAAAGTGTAACACTGAAAAACTAGTGGGGAAGAGAGTGGCGAGCGCGGAAAGGGACTCAAGACTTAGTAATTTTTATCTTCCTCAAGCTGTTTGTCTTCTAGACAGAAAGGTCTGACTGTATAGAACATCAGAAGAAATAAAAAGGGAAGTAAGTAAACTTGCTGAAAAATGCTTTCATTTAATGTGGTTTAAATCCAATCTGACCTTAAAGAGAATGAAAAAACCCACAGCACTAGTCAGTAAGGACTGAAATGACAGAGAGCCCTTATTTAGCAGAAGACCCAACCAAGCAAGAAAAAAAAAACATGTCTGTTTTCTGTTACTGTTTTTTCCTTCCTTACCTAGTCCCTTTCCACTCTGCCTCATTCCCCACCAAGCCATACTGCTGCCATCTATTTCTCTTCTACACATCTGTCACCAGCCTGGTGGGACAGGGTTTGGAAATACCAAAGGCAGCTAAGGGTACTTCAGGTTTTTCGTAACAGATGGTTTGACATTTCTCTAAAGAAAAAAAAACAATTTTTAAAAAAAAGTATCTGGTACTTTGCCACGGGGATCAAAACAAACCAAGGTGACTCTGGAGCTCTGTTCTGTTCTTTCATAGCATCATTACCCACAACTTTGCATCAAGATGATGCTGCTTCGATTAAAACCAACTGAGCTCATTCCTCCCCAGAGACACCACTTATGCAGCAGTAGAAGGACTGCTGTATGTCATTAATAACAAAGAAGAGATACTGCATTAAATGGCTACTTTGGGCAAGAATTACCTCATAGTCTTTATTAACATCCGTTATTTCCCAGTAGTCATTTGGAATTCCCATACGTTGGTAATCTACTTTTAAATCAATCAGCTTCCATCCAATTTCCCGGTTCTCTTTAGACATTTTGGGATTATAAGAGAAAGCATAAAGTTCTTCAGGTTTCACTGGGAAGAAGAAAGAAAAAAATTAACTACTTAGATACAAAAGACACACAGAGAGGTCAACACTTCTTCCTAAAGATCACCTTTTGGACAAGCACACTGTTCAAGCCAACGAGCTGCAGGTGTACTGCAACTGATACAAGGACTGAAAAAAAATAATCCAGTCAAGAAAGATCAGGAGACCTAGAAATCATTTACCAAAGAATCCAAAGGACTATGCCACTGTACTGCATAATTGACTGTTTTAATAAGAGCCATTTTCCTTATGTTTTTGCCTCCTCAAAGATCAGAAGCATGAAGTTTTCTTTTGGCACTTTGCATAATTCACCACTCTAAGAAAAGTTAAGACTGATTCTCACTTCTTAAAAAAAAAGTACAGATACCTCAAATTTCTCAACCTCACATTTACAAGTTTTTGTTCAGGGTAGTACTGAGTGCTGACAACTCATATTTAAGTCCACTGAAATTTCCAATACTTGGTTCCCTCATGCAGGGAGATACACTAAAACATTTTGTATAGAATTAATTAAAACTACAAAATAATAATTTTTTCCCAAACAAATGATTTCCTATTGAATTCACTGCAATAGGCATGTTAGACAAGATTTATATCATAAGAATTAAACCATAAATGAAAACATATATTAAAAGGTATATTTTCTGTGAAGAGTTCATAAAACAGCTCTTGCACACCTGTAAGTTCATCGTTCAACAGTGAGTTCTGAGTCGCATGGAAAACTTGATAGATGTCTTGAATATTACTGTCAGCACAACAAAAGCTTCAGGCTGTGTCTGACAAATGGTAATTTCTTCCTCCCTCCATCTCTACCATCCCAATTTCCTTCCCTCTCTTCATAAAATGCAAATCCAACCAATAACTCATTCAGCTGATTCCCAAAGCAGCAAGTGCTCCACAGACAGAGTGAAACCTGTCAGAGTCTGATAAAGTAGCCAGGTTACCAGACAGGTAACCCATCGCTGTCAATCATACATGTGCAAATTGTAAAGAATATATGCCAAAAAAACATGAAGGAAGCACACATACAGAAATTTTAAAACAAAAGAGAACTGTTAAAATCCATAAATAGAACAAAAGAAAGAGCTGCAGCATATTACACAAAAACCCACAAGACAAAAGAAACTGATGTAATTCCCTGCAGTGACAGCTCCCACGCTTCAAGACACTACGTAAGTCTCTAATTTTCAAAACTGAGAACAGTGACAGCTTTTAAACACAACAACAGAAACTTGCCAGATACAAGATTAGAATTATAACTTCAGAACTAAGAAACTCCAAAGCTCAGAGCACAAGGGAGATCCTGGGAATAGACAAAACCCTGAATATCAATCAAAAAACCCCCAAACTCGGCAAAACCCATTATATTAGAGTATTTCTATTCAAGTCCTATGGAATGGCCAGCATGAAGCAGACGGGTGCTATCAATTCCCTTCCCTTAGACTAGTGACATAATCACAACATGTAATTACAAATGGCATCCTTACAATAAAGTCAGATTCCAAATACTGGTTCACTGAAGGAGCACCCCAAAACCAGAAGCTGCCACAGACAGAAGCCAGGTAGAAATCTCAGTGGAATGCTGTCCTGCAAGAAGAACTAGGAGCCTGGAGATTCACCCATGATGGACTAAAAATCTCAAGCCAGAGGAGACCACAGGCTTTTGAGGATGTCTGGCTTACACTCTTAATTTAAGACTGACTCCAAGTCAGGACAGCCAGGCTGAAGCACAGGGTTTCACAACTGAAAAGACAAACACTGAAGAATAGCCTAAACATGCTAGAGGGGAACAAATGAAAGATGCCAACCTTTAAAGCTTTATTTGTGGGATTTCAGAAATTTGTGAACAATCTGGATCAACTGGAAAGGGCAGAACTACACATGGCCAACAGCTAAGTCACAGAAATGACTGACAACGGCCAGGTAAGGGATCTGACATGTCCTCAGCACGAGTGCTACAAGAAAAAAGCCTGAGATGCTGCATACAACCTCAGTTGGGCAAGTGAACTTTGCACGGGTCTTCAGAAATTCCTCATGGGAGACCACCTCATTCCCCCTGCCACAAAAGACTTCTTTAGTTTGGAAGCAAATGTCCCAGTTCACAAGGCAGCACTCTACTTGCTGAGCTAACCCACACACATCACCTCTGGTGGTGGAAACTGATTCTGATTTCACATCCTCCCCCTCCTGTACCAACACTGCAAACCAACAGTCTGGCGGGTAAAGCTCTCTCTCTTGCTCAGACAAGCCTTTCAGCTTAAAGCATTTCAACAATTTGCAAAACAGACTCCCATCCTAAATACCTGGTTGTGAAAGTTTAAGTAATGAGGTATACACTTCATGACAGTCGCGTTCCTGCCCAATAACAAAGTGAGCCACGTGGAAGTTCTTGCAGTGAATAAGGAGTGGATATCCAGCTGTGGTCAGAGGCAATTTTTCTACAGTTGCAATATGATGATGCAAAATCTGAAAAACAGGAAATAAACACTTTTCAGAAGCCACTGATAAGGTTGTGAGCAGTAGAAGCAGATACTAAGTTTTTGCAATACTATCAGCTATTTATGGTTACTGCAACTAACCAGCAGCAGCAAGTTAAGTTTATTTGTGATATTCATCAAACAAACATAATAAACATCCAGACTGTGCACCCAAAGGGTAGGTAACTAAGAGCAAGACTGAATAAAACACAGATATATAAAAATAACTTCTAGAGACTGATGTGCAGCTCGGTTTACCTGGTTCACTTTGCTTTCCCTCCCTGCCCATATGCAATATCTTTCACCATTCACATTTTACTTTAGCATTAATAAAAAAGGCTCATTTCAGTGCTAATTCTGCACAGGAAACTAAACAAGTTTCTTACATTCCTGGAACTAACACTAATTCAGCAAGTGACCTCTATCAAGTCACATTACCATTGTGTTCATTTCCTTTCAAAACAGCTGTTTCTGTTAAGCATTTGGTATCAAAATGCTATAAAAGACCACTATACATTTGTAATTCACAAACCCACTCATTTTGGATATGAGATATACAGTAATTTTTATGCTTATGTTTAAACAAACTCCAGGTATCACAACATACCCATGTTTCTTTTCTGACTTCAGCAGAAGCATCTACATAGATAAGATGAGTAGCTGTCAGGTATAATGTCCCATTTGCTGCCTTCCTACTTGTATAACGATCTAGTAATTTCACATTTTCAACCTGCAACATAAAAACAGTATGAAAAAATTAATTTAACTTTGACAGAGTAAATATCTAAGCACCCGTTGAATTGCAATCTTTTAACTTCTAATACACAATTTGGAAAGTAAGACACAAAAATGGAAGAATTAAAGTCTCCCCTGCAACACTAGCTCAGCTTTACACTGTTCAATTCAATTCAAATTATTTATCCAGAAATTAAAGCAAGAAAGGTTAAGCAAACAGTCAAGGTTTAACACCAGCATGGGTAACAGGGTTACTTGATTTGTAGCTGTGATGATCACAGTTTATTATTGTGCAAGATTGCAAAAAAAAATAAGGCAAAGAACTGCAAAAGAAAAGACTGTCCATACTCAGTCTAATCAAAGTATTGCTCTGAAAGAAACAGTCTTCTCCAGTTTGACTTTCAACTGCTCAGTCACTGTAAAAAAGATTAGTAGCTACTTCTTGTAACACATCCTACACATATAAGCCATTTCATAATCCACACTAAGCTAACTAATAAAAACAGTTTTAAGAAACAACAGTGCAGACATAATAAAATACTAATTTTATTTTACATTATTTGATTGATTTCCTCCTGCTCTATTTGCTTCTTGATGAATGTAGCTGGAGCTTTTCTTTCATCATTAAGGAAAAATAATGGAAAAAAAAAATTGGAAGGACAATGAAAACAAACAGTTCAAATAATGATAAATTAGTTCTAGGTATTGAATATATGTTTCCTTACAAGACCACTGGTCTGAGATACATCAAGAAAAACATCAGCAAAGAAACTTGAAGAGCAGAAGTGTCGGCTGGCTCTATGTCTTCCTAGTACATCAAGTTTTTCTACATGTATAGTTATTGTATCTAATATCGCCCTTTTTCAGGCCACTAGAGACAAACAGATCCAGGAAAGCACCTTAGGCAACATGGATAAGGAGCATCCCCAAACTAATATCCTAGAGAATAGAACAAAACAAAACACAGTAAGCAGCAACCTTCAGGGCATTAAAAAAAAAAAATAGAAAAAAGAAATCAATCAACGGCTGGACAGCTGCCTAAAGTGAAGACATTTTTTTTTCTAGCTGTAATAAATTTTTTTTAGCTGTCACAAAGACAAATTCCCAGAGCTTCTGTGTCACTTTATTTAACTGAAAAAGCACACTCTTGATTCACTTATTTGGACTGAGGGGGTCTCCACACTTTGATATAAACGAAGTTTACACAAATCGTACCCAAACCACCTTTTAATCAGTATCCTTCCTAAAAATTTCCTTTCCAAGAAGGCGATACAGTAAGAAATACGTAAACACCACGTCAAGTAGCTTTAAGCCTTCCAGACTTATCCATGACCCATTTGAGAAGTGCAAGGGACGCTCACGGGTACGTATGCCTTGAAGGAAAGTAAAGACAGCTCGTTTACCGAAATTAGTCACGACCTTAAAACAGAACAAAACAAAAGAAATACTTGAAAACGCACAGTCCTGACAGCAGCCCTGGCCGAAGCCCACGGCTCCCGGAGAGGCTTCACCTCAGGTGTCCCACAGGGAGGCCTCGGCGCAGAGCGGCGGGTGGAGCCCTGGGTCCGGCTGGCCGCCCCCAGGCGCCACAGGGGTACCCGGCGGGACAGCGGCGGCTGCCATGGCGGGGCGGCCTCTTACCTTCGGGGTGGTGATGTGCTCCATGGCGGCACCGCCCGCCTCCCCCGGCCTCACCTCGGCACGCCCGCGCGCCCCGGCCTCCGCGCCGCCAT